TTTTTTTTTTAAGAAACGAGGTCTCGCTCTGGCTCAGGCTGGTCTCAAACTCGTGAGCTCAGGCAATCTACCTGCCTTGGTCTCCCAGACTGCTAGAATCACAGGCACAAGCCACAGCGCCCAGCCTATCCACCAAATTGTGGAGAGTAGTTATTTCTTCTAAAAAGATCACAGATAAGTTTTCTTCCTTTGCTGATCATGCTTTGCAGATAGATAATTTTTGTAATCTTCTTCATATTGGGGGTATTTTTCTATTTTTATACAATGAACAAACATATTCTTCTTTCATGGATATGAAGTCCTTTCAGTACTAAGGATAAGTCCACTCACTCTCTTCTCCATTACTTTATCAATACTTAAGTCTGTGCCAATCCATGAGGATTCTTATGTCTAAAACTTTCTCAATTATAGTGTTTAAAAGGCTACACATAAATGTAAATTAATAATCAAGAGAAGCCAGTCCTGTCAGACTAGGTCCTTAGTGAAAAGTGACAGTGATTTCTCCTTGCAGTCCTCTGTCCTGACTCTTAATAGTAGGTGACATAACTACAAGCCCTAACTCGGAAATGGACACATACAGACTTATGCCTTGGTTACAAATATCTCCTCTCACTGAGACAAGAGGATCTCTTGAACCCAAGAGTTTGAGGTTGCTGTGAGCTATGATGATGCCATGGCACTCTACCCGGGCAACAAAGTAAGACTCTTGTCTCAAACAAACAAACAAAAAAGATCAGGCCTGTAATTCTAGCACTCTGAGAGACTGAAGCAGGTGGATTGCCTGAGCTCACGAGTTTGAGACCAGCCTGAGCAAGATTGAGACCCCATCTCAAAAAACAGCCAGGTATTGTGGCAGGCCTTTGTAGCCCTAGCAACTTGGGAGGCTGAGGCAAGAGAATCGCTTTAGTCCAAGAGTTTGAGGTTGCTGTGAGCTATGACATCACAGCACTCTACTGAGGGCGACAAAATGAGACTCTGTCTCTCAAAACAAATAAACAAAAACATATATACGTGTGTGTATATATGTATATATATCATCTAAATTCAATCACATAATTTTTTATTTAGTGAGGGAAAATTCTCTAATTCTATGTCATGAAAAGGAAGGAAAATTCTCTATATCATATTCTTAACAAAAGCACTGAATATTATTCTAACTCACAGTTTACTGTAGTATACCTACGTCCTAGCCTGTTCTCAAAACATTCCTAAAAATTTATAAAATCTTATCTGTATTATATACAAAGGTCAAACTTAAATGTGTTGATTCTTTAATATTACATTTTTAAAGCTGTGGTCTTACTTGGGCTCAGCCATAGCTGCTTTCCGGAGACTCATGATGAATCTTCCATGATGGAATGCTCTTCCACTCTGCACTTGATTGTTTTCTGACAGAGGGTAAGGAATTTGAACCTCTGATTTGCTGTCCCGATCATGAATCATGTAGCCATGTACAACCTGGGCATCAAGACCATCCACTGTATCTGCAAAACAATGGGCCTCAAAATAATCAATTTTGTTAATAAACTCAAGAGTTATGCATAGTACTAGGCACCAAGAAGGGCACAGAGACATTGAAAAGTAGTCTCTACTTTTGCAAAGCTCAGACACCATTTTGAGAACTGGACAATTAATGTAACTATTTCAGAAAACCTGATGCTTCTGGAGGACAATGGGAGAATTGGCAAATCTGTAATCTTATGTAAAGATAATGACACAACTATTCAAGTTCTATAATTCCACTTCACTTTAAAAAGACAGCAAGAAAATGCAGCATGAAATGAAATAAAACACAATCCTCCTCTGAGTAAACCTGTTCATAAAGACAAAGGAACACATTCAGTTCTTCTCAATGCCTTTTTCAATGTATGAATAGGGAGGATTGTCTCACACACACAAAATAAAAACAGTACGGAAATTTTAGAAAAAAGACCTAATATATACATAAAGACTGAATATATGAAAAAGTAGACTCCCCAAAACAAATGGAAAGAGTATATTTTCCAAACACTGATAATTACATACTATCTATCAAAACTGACTTACAATAAAATTGACTGTCTCTAAAAATCAAAAAAAAAAATATTTTTCAATAGAAAATATAAAATTTTAAAAGTACCAACTAAAAATTAGAAGAGACAGAAAAGGGGGAGGAAGAAGGGAGGGGGGAATGGGTGGAGGGAGGGAGTTTGGAGGGATTACTTCTGAGGTTTACCTTATAGGGGTACAGGTGAATCTTTCTAAGAGTAGAATGTGAATGTTTTAAAGCAATAACTGAGAAAATGACATGAAGGCTGTGTTGACCAGTTGATGGAAGTATTGCAGATTGCATGTGAAAACCCCACACTGTACCCCAGAAGTGCATTAATGTACATAGTTACCATTCAATAAAAAAAAAAAAAAAAAAAGAAGAGACAGAAAAGAGCTTAGTTCCTTTCCCTCTCTCCTACCCACAGCCCCTTCCCCATCACCACCATGTGAGGATACAGCAACAAAGTAGTTGTCTAAAAACCAAGGCAGCTCTCACCAAAGACCCCACCATGCTGGCACCCTGATCTTGAACTTCCCAGTCTCCAGAATTATAAGAAATAAATGTATGTTGTTTATTCTGATACAGCAGTCTGAACTGCCAACGACAAAATATATTAAAATATAATATATTAAGATAAAATACATTTCTGATAAAATCTCGTTTCTTATTAAAGAAAAACGTCATATTAAACAATTTTAGGAAACATCTGTGCTAGGATCAAAATAAGTTATTTTTCTGGTATCCTTTTTAATTACACTTAAAACCCAGTCAGGGACAAGCTGAACATTTATTATATATTTGTCCTATAATAAAATGAAACAGTTTTTGGATTTGAGTTCTAAATTATTACAGCTACAATCCAGTCAGGTCAAGTAGAAAGACAACCAAAAAGCTGCCAATTAACAGAGTATTCAGTTTAGATCTCAGCAAATTGCCAATCTTTGCCAACTTAGATGTGTGGAGCCCACTTAATACTTCCAGAATGTTCTGTCCAGCTTGTTTTTCTTAACAAATTAATGTATAATTGGGGTACTTTAAATATTAAAACTGGCCAATTTAGAACACACTAGAAAATCTAAAAAGTATAGCACCATAGTATAATTTTTCCTTGGATAAGCCATCTTAAAACAAGCATATAGGGTGGCGCTTGTAACTCAGTGGGTACCAGCCCCATACACTGAGGGTGGCAGGTTCAAACCCAGCCCCGGCCAAACTGCAACAAAATCATAGCCGGGCATTGTGGTGGGCACCTGTAGTCCCAGCTACTTGGGAGGCTGAAGCAAGAGATTGCCTAAGCCCAGGAGTTGGAGGTTGCTATGAGCTGTGACGCCACAGCACTCTACCAAGGGCAATAAAGTAAAACTCTATCTCTAAAAAAACAAACTAAAATAAATTTTTAAAAAATTTTTAAAAGCATATAAATAAGGTCTAACATTAATCTTAATGTTTAAGAAAAAGATATGAAAACAAGTATATAAATAAGGTCTAACTTAAGATTTTTTAAACATCTACATCAGCTTTATTAATGAAATCAAATGAGACTTTGGACACTTTTGCTTTCTTTGGTAGGCAAGAAGATGTACCCTAAACCTCAATGAAATTCATGCATTATGAATACCAGAGACTTAATAACTGTGAAGCCAGTGACATAACTTGGAGCTATTATTAATGAAACTACCATTAATCATAAAGCTCCATACTTATGATGTTAGACATAGCAGATAAATGGACATGGAAAGCCTTCTTCCACAGTTAAAAAAAAAAAAAAAAAAAAGACAGCATTTTTTTGTACAAAGGCAAGCTAAAAAGTGAAAGAAAGAAAGAGCGAGGAAAGGAGGGAGGGAGGGAAGTTTTAAATGCAAAAGCATGACAGCATCAGAACCACAAGCCTAAAGAGCCAGAGTTTTAAGGGCTACTCCTAGATGGGAGATAGGAGTCCCATGTGCCAGGAACACTGGAACTTAGCACTACACATAAATTGTCCCAAGAGATGGCATGGTGGGAAGCCATCTGTCATAGGTTATGGGGAGAGTCATCCACAAGAAACTCAAACATAACTCTGCCATGACCTGACATAAAGTCTGAACTTCGAGCTGAGGAAAGGACACAATAAAACAATGAAAGTCAAAATTTAAACAGAGTTCTAGGAATAAATTAAACAAAAGACACACAAGATTTATGAAACTTTTAATAAATTAAGTACTTAAGTGAATAGAGAATACATCACATTCACAAATAATAAGTCTCAATCTGAAAGATGTCAATTTTCACAAAATTAAACTGGAGATTAAATGCTATTTTAATCATAATCTTGACAGGGTTTTTTCCTACAAAATAAAAAATCTGATTCTAAATTATATACAAAATAACAAAAAGATCAAACAAAGCCAAGATAACCCTAAAGAAAATAAGACTAGGGAGAGGAGAGGGGCTTTCCTACTCAATACTGAGTCTTCTTATAAAAATATAGAATTTAAAGTGTAATATACTAATTACAAGAGTTCTGGATATTGAGCTTAAATCAGAGGGCAATCGGTTCACTAACTAAAACTCTATACTCCAGAGTGGATCAGTCTACATTATTTTAAATATTCCAAAAGTAATTATTTCAAGTATTATACATATCTCATCAGACCTGAGGGGAAATTTGGTAACAATGAAATGTCTAAACAAAACCTCATTAGCAGTAGTAAACACATACTTGCTAGTGTACTTGGCAGGGGTGTCCAACCTTTTTTTTTCCGCACTGCCACACACTGGAAGAGTAAGAGTTGATTTGCGCCACACATAAAAATACACAAACACTTAACAAAAGCTGATTAGCAAAAAAATAAATAAATAAATAAATTCTATGCATACTTTTCATGATATCTGACACTACGGATAAGCAAAAAAAGTCCTCAGAAAATCAACATGTGGCCCGCAGGTCATAGACTGGACACCTTTGCTTTAGAAAAGGCTCTCCTCACTCTTCCATGAGGCTTATAGCCACAACCCTGCAGATGTCCTCAGGCTAGACCTCTAAATGATTCTGTGTCCAGTCTGTAGTCTGGGAGCATTTCTGGTTGCCTGATGTTCAAATATAAGGTTAGCACATCCTGCCTCTGGATGTTGTCAGTCTTCCTTAAGTGAATCTCTCATGACAGGCAGTTAGGGAAGCTAAAAGGACAGAGACAGAACTTCTTCTCCTTATAAAGCACACTCTTCAATTGGTCCCAGGTGCTGCAATCTTTTGCTTTTCCTCCCCAGATTGCTCCTCCTCAGTCCCTTTTTGGCCCCTATACATTAGAGCATCCCAGGGTTTGGTCCTGGACTACTTCTTGGTAACCAGAAGTAACTCTCTTTTCAATCAGGCACTACGACTCCTCTCTTTCTCTCCTACCTGACATCTGATCCTGCAACAAGTTCTCCTGACTCCTTCTTCAAAATGTATTTCCAGAACCTGACCACTTCTCATACCTCTTCTGCTACCCCCTTGCATGGTATCAGCTCTCAGTGATTCTGCAATAACCTTCTAACAGTTATTCTTGCTTCTGGCCTTGCCTCTTTAAGATCTTTTCCATACAATAATGAGAATAATTTTAAACAAAACTTTTTTTTTTTTTTTTTGCAATTTTTGGCAAGGGCTGGGTTTGAACCTGCCACCTCCAGCTAATGGGGCCAGTGCCCTACTCCTTTGAGCCACAGGCGCCACCCTAAACAATACTTTCAAATCCCACTTTTAAAATATGAAATCAAGGATGGACAAGGTGGCTCATGCCTTATATTCTCAACACTTTGGGAGGCCCAGGTGAGAGGATCATTTGAGGCCAGATGGGAGGATCACTTAAGACCAAGAGTTTAAGACCAGGCTGGGCCAAACTAATATTTTTGTGGTCCCAGTTCCTTGGGAAGCTGAGGCAGGAGGATAGCTTGAGCCTAGGAGCTCGAGGGTACAATGAGCTATGATCATGCCACTGCACTCCAGCCAGGGTGACACAGTGAGACCCCCATCTCTTAAAAAAAAAAATACATAAAATCTAATAACTCCTCTTAAACTTCTCCAGTGGCTTCCGTTTGGAATAAAAACCAAATTTGTATAGTGGGCTAAAGTCTCTAGAACTTGTGAACTCAAGCTATCCACCCACCTCGGCCTCCCAGAGTGCTAGGATTACAGGCATGAGCCACTACACCCAGCCTGAAGCCACTATTTTAGATGCATAAACAAGATCATGTCACACTCCTGCCCCACGCCTACAAAGCCCCACATGGTCTAGCTGCTGCCTATCTGGCCAACCTTAATCTCAAGCCACTCTTCCTTCCATCATCCAGTTCCTTAAACAAAAGAGCAAACACTTCCATAGTGCCAGGAACTGTTTTGAATGCATTACTTGTATGAATTCATTTAATCTTCTTAATAACAAATGAGGCAAAGACTCCTAGTATACCCCTTTTACACAGAAGATTAAGTTACTTGGGTTAAAGTTGGTTACTTTAGGTAAGGTTATATAGCTTTTAAGTGCCAGAGCTAGTATTCAAACCCAGGCAATCCAGAACCAGAATTAATGCTTTCAGTTAACACACTATACTTCTTACCACACACACCAAACAAGCTATTTCTCACCTCACTGCCTGGGTATATTTGTATATTTGTACTCTGCTCCTCAAAAATAGACAGTTTATTTGGTGGCGCCTGTGGCTCAAAGGAGTAGGGTGCCAGCCCCATATGCCGGAGGTGGTAGGTTCAAACCCAGCTCCAGCCAAAAAAAAAAACTGCAAACAAACAAACAAAAGAATAGACAGTTTATTTGCCTGTTGATCAGTATATCCCTGGTACTCAGTATAGCACCTCATCCAAAACAGGCAGTAAATAAACATTTCCTGATGAATAGAAGATGCTTAAACACCATTGGCTGAATGGATGAATAAAGCTAAAATAAGACAGTCTTGGTAATAATATTGTAATAGGCACATAATATACACTCTATAAATAATAGTTCCCTTCAATTTTCATTAAATTTTATGTCCTCATTCCATGAGTTTTCTAGTCCTCCAGTGATTTTGACCCTCACAATGTTTTAGCCATGCCATTATATCTCATTAAATCAACTTCATATCTCCTCATACTACTAAATCTAAATGCTTATTTTATCCTTTGCTCTCATTTCCATGCAAATTTGTTGGTAAATTAGTATAATAAATTTTATAAATGAAAATAAAATGTAATATCTTTTTACCAGTCATAGGATGGTGCTTGCTTATACCATATTACTCTACTGAAAATCAATATGAACCTACCTCCAAGACCAAGGTCTTGAAGAACTTGAAAACCACCTGGCTGCAGAAATTCTCCAACTATTCTGTCAGGCTCTTTTAGATCTCTCTCAATTAGGGTCACCTTTCTTCCATCTCTGGAAAGCACAGCTGCCAAAGCAGAGCCAAGTATTCCAGATCCCACAATGATCACTTCTGGATCACCTTGAGAAGATATTGATGTAGACGCAGCTGCTCCCATTAAAGTTGTTTCTGAAGTATTGGTTCCTTTTCTGCACTGTTTTAAAAAAGGTGAATTATGTTTCCAAAGTTATTCAATTTAAATCATACTACTACTATATGTAGATACACTCTGGACTTTTATATCTTGGGTAAAAGCAAGAACCCAAACATTATGAAATCAAATGAACTGTTACATTTTAAAATCTGGATCACATATAAAAACCATGATCAAAATACTGCCTAAATAAAAATATATTATCCCAAAACAATTAAATATATATTCCTTTTTCTAAACATGGTATTTACAAAATGCTATTATACGGTCATTTTTATAAATCCAGGTCTAATATAACAAATGTTCATAAGAGGCTTCAAAGACTTATTACAGAGCGAATTCTATTATTAATTACTCAATTCTTCAAATATATAAGGTCTTACCACAGGCAAATCACTTTAACAATTTCTGATTTGACATCATGTTGCAAACCATTCAGCACCTTTTAGATATTTCCACACTACTTGTCTTTATTTCTTCCTTCTGGACTTTCATTTGGAAAATCTATTTTAAGCTAAAATCACTTTTCTATAAAAGGTTGTCAAATTCTGGCTATTGATCTATTAATTTAAGGTTATTTTATATCAATAAAAATATACAATAACAAATGACTCATATGGCCCCTTGGGATTGGACTTGTTTACAACTTTAATCCTTAACACATAATCGTGTATTTAATTCATCTTTTCCTTTTTCCCCATCCCTATACTCCAAGGGAACTGTGTCAAACAGTTGGTCCCCCAGTTTAGGAACAAGGACAGACATTAAACTTCTCTGGCTATACTGACAGCAAAAACATTTAATCTTAAGAAGATGAGAAGTCCTATTCTGAGAGATTTATGACCACCAAGAATAACAGTGCACATTGACTTTTTAAAATGAATAATTAAATCTTATAAATAAGTATTTGTTCTTGGTAGGTGTATTCACAAGTCTGAATAAATTTCTGATGAAAAATTGCAAGAAACCATATTGAGCTCTCTCACCTTAATGACTGAAATTAAATGCCATTTGAAAGGGTAAAAACACAGGCATAAAAAAGAATAATAAGCCTAAAATCCTTTAGAGTTTTAATGCTCCATGATTCTAATATTCATCCATCCTTCTTTTACCTCTATAGTGGCAAAATGGACTGAAGACTTATCTATTCCACTTGATTTTTTTTTAATAATTTCTCTTAGAGAAATATTTTTCTATCCTTTACTAAGAGAGAAAGAAGTCAATGGTCTATTCTTCCCATTTAGCATTTACTAATCATCAGAAAACCTGACTATTTAAATTACTGTTCTAAGAATAAGACAGCACTTTCTGTTATCTTAACCCTTTTTTCACTGGTTTTTCTTCCTAAATTTTTCCTGTTACACATATCCAAAATCCTGAAAGGGGAGCTCTGGAGGTAATCAAGTCTTCAGAGTCTGATCAGTAGAGGAAGTAACAATGGGAACTCAATAGATCACAACCCAGAAATAAGGAGAAAGCTTGAGGCTTTCACAAAATGGAACCAGTATTGATCTCTGGTAACCCAATTTTCCTACTCTAAAATTTCTCTACACAATTGAAGACATTCCAGGCACCTGGACTAGTGCTCAGTGACCCTGAGGGAAGTTATCTCAGACAATAATACAAAAGATTTCAAATTCAGAATTAAGGATTCCCTCTCCTTTCCCATTCCTCCAGCCCATATTCATCATGCCACTGATCTTGGCACTACTCAAAGGCTCCTCCTAACAGATGTATACTTCCTTTAGACTAATGTAATAGTTCCCAATATTTAATAAGCAGTTATGAACCAGGCATTTTGCAAACATTAAAGCATTAATTCCCTGACTACCAGCAAGAGTGGTGCCTTTCCCTCCTACAAAAGAGGTAACTGATTCTTACAGAAAATAAGCAAAGTGTCAAAGACTCACAACCAGAAATGAAAAAAAATTTAATTCAAGTTATTCTCTTCTATAAACCTTGCTAATCTATACTGTAGATACAGTAAAATAATGTAGACCCAGAACTCTACATCATTTGCGGGTCACTCACCCTAATCTCAAGCCACTATCACCCTTTGGTAAATCTGCTACTATAGTCTCTAGCCCGATATCCCCACTTCCATTCTAGTATCCCTATAATCCATTCTCCATACAACTGGAAAGTTCTTTCTAAAAAGTAAAAAGTCAAAAGTCCCATGTTTATAATCAATCCCCCAGTGCTACTGGGAAAAAAATGCCAACACTCATGGCCAACAGGCCCTAAGTGCTCTGGCCTCTATGTGCTCCGCCCAGCCCCATTCTCCTACCATTGGCTACTTCTGCAAGCATCATAACACACACGTATTTGAAGACCCAGTCTTGGCTTTAGGATATTACTGCATGGATTTACTCAATGCTCCAATGGGGAGGCAGGAGGGTTTTACCAAAGGCTTTAAAATAATGAGCATTTTTACTATGCCTGCTTTTCAAACCAGTGTCACTTTCCTCAGTCAGCCCTCACTTCTTGTAAGCAGTGGACTTACCTGCAAGCACATCTCTTTCTTCCCAGGTACAAATGCAATCCTTATCCCAAGGATCTAAATAAAACATTTTTTCATCATGGAAAGTGATTCTGTCCTCCTTCAAACTTTAAATTCTAACATTTCACAATCAAATCAATATTTAAACTCCTGCTGGGGTTCAACCAACACTACATGAAACAAATGTTTTTGAATCACTTCTAAGGTTGCAGCCAAGGCACAGTCAAGAGCTTAAAAAAATACAACTGATGTCTGTTAAGCTGCCACCTTTGCACTATTAAGAAGAAAACTTGTATATGAGTATCCCAATCTTAAAATAAGACATTCATTTGCCCACTTGGAAATCAACCTACCCTCCTGGACTCCAGCGGCTCCTTATTTTCTGATCCAGGAGGGGACTTGGCCCAGAAGAAGCCAATGAAAGGCAAAGCTGAGAGAATATCTGAGAAGAGGGCCAACTGGGAACGGCTCTGCTGGCGCCCCAAGAGGCCCCCATTTCGGTGGCGACAGCGATAGGAGAGCACCAGGCCAAGTGAAAGAAAGACCAGGACGCACAACAGGAGCTCCTTGTTGGCCAAAGTGATGATGTCCCCGCATTTCTTATAAAAATAGGTAAAAGTGGCAATGCCAAGGAAAGTCCACATGGTTCAAAAGGCTTCTTTGGTGGCACCAGTCAAGGCTGAGATTCTTTGTCCGGGTGGGTTTAGGTTCTCCCCAAAATGTGCTACCAACAGGAGCAGTGGAAACCGGCCGAACTCCAGTAAGCACTGTCACAGGATTAGAAGATCACATCAATTTTAAAAATCATAAAAAGTCAGTATAAAAGTAGTTAAAGAGGAGAAAGTTGTAAAGGACTTAGAAAACAGTATTTAAAAAACGGCGGCTCCAAGAGCTCCCGATTAGACACGCTCCTCCTCTTTCAGGCAATTCCATAAATTCTTTTTTTTTTTTTGGATGGGGTTTCCTGGGGGGTTGTTGAGGGTGACGCTGTATATTTTTATGTTGGCTCGTCGTGCTGTAAAATTTTCCTTTTCTCTCACCAGCAGCAGGTGCCCTTTCAAAAGGGGATGGAGAGGAAACGATCAAAGAAACGCCTGGGCGCTGTGGGGAAACGCGGCCTCGCCGCCGCAGTGGAAAGGTCTCCCGATCCGCGGAGACCGCGGCGGTGGATGCCTGGTCGCCTTCTCCAGCCGAAGCCGGCCTGGGATTCAGGAGCGAGGCGCCAGGGGAGGGCAGCGCAGACACCACCTCGGGACTGACTCCTTAGCAGGATTCCGACTCACCAGCCCCGGAACTGCCCATCTGCGACTCGGCTTCCCCGCCGGCGAAAGGCGGTCTCCACAGAGACCTCAGACGGCGGCGGCAGCTCCCGACGGCCTCCTCTCCAGCATCCCTCGCGGGCGGCGACTCTCCCGCCACGGCACGGCTGCAGTAACCAGAGAGGCCGCCGCGCGCTCCCCTCTAGCCGCCGGCCCACGCGCCTCAGAGGCCAGGCGTGCCGAGCCCAGGCGAGGGACCAGGGGGCGGGGTTCCAGGGGCAAGACCGCCCGGCCGGCGCGCCCCGCTCGCAAGGCCCACCCCGTGCTCCACTGCCGGCCAATGAGGGCGCGGACCGCGCAGTAGGCCGAGATGGCGCTATGCCGCGTTTGGCCAATCGCAGGTGGCGCAGCCCGCGTAGCGACGCCCCGAGAGGCGCTAGGGCGATGTTGCGTGGTGTGGGGTGGGGGCGTGGGGACGGGCTCTCCGCTGACAGTGAGCGGCTTCGGCTCTCCAGGTGTTAGGGGTGGCAAGGGGGGTTGCCTGAGTCAATTCGCTGCTGCAGCTCCACCCCCTGCCCTACCTGAGAAAGGGGTGGAGCTCGTTTTGAGAATAAGCCTCCTGAAGCTCCGCCTCTCAGGAGTGTTTCCTGCAGTTGCTAACATTTATAGGGCGCCTACTACATACTAAGGCCCCGGGTCAGAAAGATAAATCAGACACACCCTTCGTGTTCTGCGCCTTGTATGTGCAGAGGGCGGTAGGAAGACCCATGGATGCCTGAAGAACGTGACTTTCAAGCTGAACCTGAAGAACGAGTAGGCTCTTACAGGAGAAAAGGGGAGGATGCACCAGGTGTTTAGTGTAAAGAACCAGGTGTTTAGTGTAAAGAGACACTGACTGCCAGTCCCTATTCTCTTGAGATTGGAAAGGTGGGGGAAAGGGCACGTGGCAAAGAAGTCAAATAAATGGTCGAGTGTCAATAAATTCTGCGAGAAAGGGGTGCACAGGGAATCATGGAAATGGGAGGCAGGTCTTCACTGGGCCTACAGGGAGTTGGGGAGGAGGTGTCCAGGAGAGGTTACATGAATTATGTCCAAGACAAACACTCCCCGGGGAACAGTACAGGTTATGTTATCATGAAACTTACGTAGAATTTACTGAGGCCTCTGGTCACTCTGTTTCTTAACCCTAGACTGCCTCCTTTAAAACCTATCATTTATGTGCAAGTTCTTTCTGCCATTTAATTATGGCTGAATTGTCCCCTCTTCCATCCAGTCTCCATTGATCCTCACCAAATCTGAAAGAGTTTATTTACATTCTCTTATCCCATTCTCTGACTATACACTTATGATTGAGTCTTATCATGCCTTCTAATCTCTAAATTCGCCAAGGGAAGGATCTGTGTCTGACAAATCAAAATCACCCACAGCACCAAGCACAACTAAGTTTTGCCTTAGTTTATCCTCCATAAAAATGTATTTAATAAATCAATGAATGATGAATGACAGCATGAGGACAGAACTAGGGGAATGGCTACCACACTAACCAGCTTTGTGACCTTGGACAGGATAGAGTTGTAAGTCACCCAGCCTCTGGTGGGAGAGGTAGATTTCTTCATGAAATCAAAGATCTCTGGCAATCCTGTCTACTTGGTAGGTTTAAGAAAATATGGCACCTCTTAAATGTGGTTTAAGAAATAAGGCACCTCCCTTCATCCCTTTCATCCCTTTCATGTCACATGTTTTATCTGCTAATAAAATAATTATCTGCCAAAACACTCTTATCAATATTCAATTGACCCTCAAAAGAACTTTCATTTTAAAATAAGAAAAATGAAATTGGCTCAGGGCCTGTGGCTCAAGTGACTAAGGCGCCAGCCACATATACCTAAGGTGGCGGGTTCGAATTCAGCCTGGGCCCGCCAAAACAACAATGATGGCTGCAACCAAAAAATAGCCAGGCATTGTGGTGGACGCCTGTGGTCCCAGCTACTTGGGAGGCTGAGGCAGGAGACTCGCTTGAGAGCCCAGGAGTTGGAGGTTGCTGTGAGCTGTGATGCCACAGCACTCTACCCAGGGGGATAGCTTGAAGCTCTGTCTCAAAAAAAAGAAAAGAAAAATGAAATTTAAAGAGGTTAAATGGATTGACTAAATCACAGTTGTAATCAATTACATCATAGTAATAAAAAGTTAAAGTCCTGTCTCCAAATCTGTCGCCAGTACTCTTAATTATCAGTAATTGCCTTAACTTTCCAATACTTTTATTTTTTACAGTACTCCTCACTGTCATCAATAAATTTGGCTGTTTAAAAATATACATCAAATTATAAAAGACTGAAGAGAATCAGTTTAATGTGTGATAAATCATTTTCCTTCTTCAATAAACTTATTATTGGTATCTGTGAGTTCCTTTATTGCTAAAATGATAAAATACTTAAGCAGCTGATTCTCATAGATGAGAATACACTATCACCAAGACAATTGTTACTTGCTTACCCTACACAGGGTGACCATAAAGTTTGTGTACAAATTACACACAAACTTTATGGCCACCTTCTCCAACCAAAGACAGCCATGTACTTGAGATTATCATAAGAGGATTTTTTTCTTAATAAGTGGGTAATGTGTTAGTCTCTTGGAAGCAATTTTCTCTTTTTTTTTTTCTTTTTTTTTATGGCCCTTGGTAGAGTGCTGTGGCATCACAGCTTACAGCAACCTCCAACTCCCGGGCTTAGGTGATTCTCTTGCCTCAGCCTCCCAAGTTGCTGGGACTAGAGGTGCCCTCCACAACGCCCAGCTATTTTTGTTGTTGTTCTTGCAGTTTGGTCAGGGTGGGGTTCCAATCTGCCACCCTCAGTATATGGGGCCGGTGTCCACTAAGCCACAGGTGCCGCCCAGAAGCAATTTTCTTTATATGTTTATATCGTCACAAAGTCATTCCCACGGGCCAGGCACAGTGGCTTACACCTGTAATTCTAGCACTTGGGAGGCCAGAGCGGGTGGATTGCTTGAGGTCAGGAGCTCCAGACCAGCCTGAACAAGAGCAAGACCCTGTCTCTACAAACAGAAAAAAATCTAGCCTGGCATTGTGGCAGGCGCCTGTAGTCCCAGCTACTCTGGAGACTGAGGTAAGAGGATCACCTGAGCCTAAGAGTTTGAAGTTGCTGTGAGTTATGGGGCCATGGCACTCAACCCCAGAGTGACTGAATTATAATAAGACTCTGTCTCAAAAAAAGAAGTCATTCCTACAGTGTAAGGTCCTTAATTCTCTGAACAGTTCAAGATCCACTTCTGAATTTAGGACAAAAAGAGCATTTTTTTTTTTTTTGAGGCTTATCTCTTACTCCTGAGCTCAGGCAATCCAGCTGCCTCAGCCTCCCAGAATGCAGGGATTACGAGCATGAGCCATTGCACTCAGCCTCAAAAAGAGCATTTGTAATGCCTGTACCTACCATGGGGCACACTATGGATGCCTGTATTTTCTAAACTGAATTAAATGTTACATAAACATTGCTTAAATATCTTTGAATCTTTTTTTTTTTTTTTTTTTTTTTGAGACAGAGCCTCAAGCTGTCCCCCTGGGTAGAGTACCGTGGCATTACAGCTCACAGCAACCTCCAACTCCTGGGCTCAAGCGAGTCTCCTGCCTCCGCCTCCCAAGTAGCTGGGACCACAGCGCCCGCCACAACGCCCGGCTATTTTTTGGTTGCAGCCGTCATTGTTGTTTGGCGGGTCCGGGCTGGGGATTCGAACCCGCCACCTTAGGTGTACGTGGCTGGCGCCTTAGCCGGTTGAGCTATAGGCGCTGAGCCATCTTTGAATCTTTACGTGGCTCATTTATTCAAAAATGGAAATCTGTCATTTAGACCTGAAGCAAAGGCAATGATAGCATAGGCAGCATTCTAAGTGCTTTCCATATTTTGCTCTCATAACAACACTCTTAGGTTGGTGCTATTTTTTAAGCCCATGTTACAGACAAGAAAACTAATGTACAACTAAGTAGTCATAGCTAGTGAGCAGCAGAATCTGAAGCCAAGCCCAGGAAACCAAGTTCAAGAATCTAGCAATGATTAACTTTGGTTTTTCTTCCCATACAAAAATAAAGTTATCTTGGCTTAAGGCCTGTAGCTCAAGCAGCTAGGGCGCCAGCCACATACACTGGAGCTGGTGGGTTCGATCCAGACCGGGCCCACCAAACAACAATGACAACTACAAACAAAAAGTAACCAGGCATTGTGGCGGGTGCCTGTAGTCCCAGCTACTTGGGAGGCTGAGGCAAGAAAATCGCTTAAGACCAAGAGTTTGAGGTTGCTGTGAGCTGTGACGTCATAGCACTCTACCTAGGGCAACAGCTTAAGACTCTGTCTCAAAAAAAAAAAGAAAAAAGCAAACAAAGATTCACTCTCTATTCCCTTGCTTAAGCACCTCTGTTGTCACTGTTCCTTTAGTGTGGCACAACAGGTTAGCCCTTGTTAACTAAAATAAAATCTTAAGCCTCCCTCCCTGCCCGTGGCTGACTGGACCCCTTCTTGGCCAAGCGGATCCCCTAAAACTGAGTTTCTAGCTATGAGAAAGGAGATCAGACGTCATGTCTGTTCATCACATCCTCCTCCCTCCTTAGAGACGTCTTTTATGATTCAACAGATATACCTGCAGGTCCTCAATATACACAACAAACCACTCAAGTCTGGGCATATGTCCTGTAATTTGTCTCTGATTTATAGATCTTTATCTTAATTCAGCATTTCTTTTCACTGACTCCTGGAATATTAGACAAAGCCTCACTTTTTAAGCTAAAGAATGTTTAAACTCTCTATAATCTGTAAGTCCCCCACTTTCAAATGTCTTACCTTTTCAGGCCAAACAAATGTACACCTTCCAGGTATTGATTTATGACTTTACCTGTAATTCCTGTCTCCCTCAAAAGTATAACACCAAACTATAACCCCACCGCAATGAGTCTACTTGGTAAGGGTTTCTTGGACATGGCTCTGGGCCACAGTCCTCAAATTTGGCTCAGAGTAAACCTCTTTATTTTACAGATTATGGTTTCTGTTGATACCCTGTATCTTAAGTGCCATTCCCCATGTGGGAAAAAGTCTTCCCCCCTTTTTTCAACTATCCCTTCCTTAAGATCCAGATTAATCGTCATCTGTTTTTCTTTCTTTCTTTTTTTTTTGCGACAGAGCCTCAAGCTGTCCCCCTGGGTAGAGTGCT